CTTTGAAGGTGTTCTTGGACTTTTTAGAAAGCTTGAGATGTCCTCTAACTAACCAGTTTGGTCTCATCTTAATTTGATATTCAATGCTCATGTATGAAGCTTTGACAAAAAAGGTGTTTTTGTTGACTTTTCAAAATGACCTATAATGTCCAAATTCATAACTTATTGTGAGTGCATATTTTGAACTTGGGAGCTGAAGATGGATTGCAGAGCATGGAAAAATATTCAAAATGAGCTTTGGATGGGTCATTTCTCATAAAGAATGAGAAAGTTATGCTTGGTCAAAGTTGAGTTGACTTTTCCTACAAAACCCTAATTTAGCAACTTTTGGTTCTTGATGAATTATGAGCAATCCTTGATGAATCATGATGAACCCTTGATCAAATGATGAAATATACTTCAAAATGAGGATGTTGACCAAAAATCTTGAAGTTTGACTGTATGGGGGTCACAGTTCACTTTTGCCCTAGCACAGTCGATTTTCAAGCCTTTGAGCAATTGACTGAGTAAATTTTCTATGTATGGCTTGAAACTTGACATGGATGATCTTGAGAACTTATTAGGACAATGGTGAGAATTTGGGATCCCTTGGACTCAAGTATCTTGATGCAATATGAAACCCTAATTTGAGATAGACTGCCTTAGGAGAGAGCTTGTCTGGCCAACCCTTGGACTTCCTTGAGCAACTTGGGAATCTTTCTTGAAATGTTTTGAGAAATATGGGAGGGCAAATTTTGGGGTACAACACCCGTGTTACGGAGTAAGACTGGCATGTATGATTATTTCACGAATAAAATGTGACACCCTTTTGTTGTATTACTCTGATATTATTTTAAATAATTATGAATATTTTGTTTGGATTTAGAAGGGTGTTACATTAGTGGTATTAGAGCAGGTCTATTCATCTGACCAGGATTTATATGATGCATATTCCTTGTTAGTCGATTAGTATCTGAATACGGTCAATGTGTTGATGTTTCTAAATGTTGGTTGTCTATGTGCAGAGTTATGGCTGGTGGAAGAAATGATAACGCGATTGCTAATGCTTTGGAAGCCATGGTGGAGGTAATGCAGAACCATCATTGACATCAGACCCAGAATGGAGGGAATGATGATGAGGCTCGTGCTTGGGGAAGAATCTAGAGGAACAACCCACCGATCTACAAGGGCAGGCACGATACTGATGGTGCACAGGCATGCCTGAAGAGTATTGAAAAGACCTTTCGAGTGGTGATCTGTACGGAAGACCAAAAGGTGCAGTTCAATACTCACATGATGGAGGAAGGAGTTGAAGACAGGTGGAATACTGCACGCCAGAGGATGGAGATTATGGGCACAAAGATTACTTGGGTTGTGTTCAGAGCTGCTTTTCTGGATAAGTAATTTCTAGAAGATGTGTGTGGTAAGAAGGAAATTGAATTCCTTGAGTTGAAGCAAGGAAATTTGAGATTTGCTGAGTATGCGAAAAGATTTGAGGAGCTAGTGAAATTTTGTTCGCACTATAACATTCCTGAAACAACCGGCTGAAAACATCAAACAATGAAGTCGCCATTGAACGTCTTTTATCCCGCATGAGAGGAAAGGTAAACATCAAGAAAACATGATAAGGGAGAAGTCATGGTCTTGCAACCGAGAGATTGGTTAAAGGAGTCTTTTACGTGAGGGGAAGGTATTAGCACCCCACACGCCCGTAGTACTCTACGGTATTCACTCTAGTTATCTATCTTATGGGTGTGTTTAAATCTATGCTTACTGTTTGTTACTAAGAAAGTATGCATGCAAAAGAAAGAAGAAAATAATGTAGGGAAAATAAAGTTGTGCTCGCTTGGGCCCTACCCCAATGCCTACGTATCCTTTTTGAGAAATCAGAGTTACCATAGTTCGGTTCACATGTTTTGTTTGTTTTGTGTTTTTTATGAACAATGTTAATTCCGCCTTCTGCCGCAGCTCGACCTTTAGAGACTCACGCATTAGTACAAAAGTAAATTAACATGTCCTCTCCTGAAAATGGTTTTGAGTTACGCCCTCAAGGAAACATGCCACATTTGATTGGTTTGTGTTTTGTTACCTTGAAAAAGGATTTAAGTTGTTAGCATGTTTTATGATTTGCTAAGAAAAAGAGAGTTTTAGTTTTAAATGCATATGCAAAAGGGGAAGAAAAAAGTCTACGAGAGAGTACACTTTTCCTAATCCTAATGTTATCATACAATGGTGGTCCTAAGGTTTGGATTAACAAAAGGGAAACGTCTACCTAACGTTAGCATGCATGGTTCACAACCTAAGATCTAACTTGCATCCGAAAGGAACAAGTACATCCTAAGGGAACATGGTATGTACAAGGATAAAATAAACAAGCTCGAAAGAGCAAACACATAAAATGGTAAAGAAAAGAAGTGAAATGCTTTAGTCAAAGGGAGCGTATCACCCGAGACAAACAAGCGGGAATAGGATGTAAAACAAAAATGTGATGTCCAAAGCGACTGAACACCTAACCAAGATATAGAAGATTGAGGTAGGCGATAGAAGGCAATATGAGCAATCACGGAGTATCAGAATTGGACAATGCGAACTCCTGACAAAGTGTGGGGGTTCAATTGCGAAACCCTTTTCCACTTGACGACTCGATAACAAGAGTAGGCATAACTCCGAAGCATCATGGTGCGTCACAAGATAAGGATGACACAAACGAAATTGTGAGGGTTGATTGCAAACCCTTTTCCGCTTGCCTCCTTTTGAGGACTTCAATAAAGGATGGGGGAATAGTGCGAGCACAAATGTAAACACACGTGCAGAATACCTACACAAAGGTAGGTTTTTAATCAAACCACTGGCAAGTAACACACAATGGAAAACAATGCGGAATTGTCTTAAACAGGTCTTTAAAAAAAACAAGGGTTCCTGACATGATCAGCAACGAAGATCCCTATCATACATCTCTATTCCTACTTATCATGGCATCAGAAAGTAGTAAAGTTCCTACTTCTCATGATATCTAGAAAAATGGTAAAGAAATGCGATAAAGTACGGCGAAATACAAAGGTAGCAGCGGCGACTACCAAAGCGAGAAAATCGTTGAAAGCAACCGAAAGTAATGGAGAAGAAAGGAGTACATGTCGAGCAAGCTTCACCAAGAAACAAACAAAGTCAGAAACGATATCCGACTAAGATAAAAGCAAATGCGTGTTGTGAATGCAACGCGTAATCAGAAGTTCCTGCACAAAGCATCATAAAATATCACATGCATCTGGATAACATATAATATGATATGAATTTCTCAGGACGATGAGAAACAAGGCAAGTCACATCGGACGCGAGCATAAGTCGTATGCTTCGATCATATAACAACTTGTTATGTTACATGATCGAGTACCTTGCATAATGAACAAACGCATAAAAAATAACGAACATTAAGAAAATATGACTAATTTTTTATTATTATTTTTGTGTGGGGAAAATTCTATAAAAAATAAGGAGTTAATTCCTAAAATCGACTAAGAAAAAATAACAAATTTTATCGATAATTTGACGTATCATTTTTTCATTGTTTATATTATTCCTATTATCTCCTAAAACTCACTAATTCTTATTAGCAAAAATAAATAAAAGAAATATAGAAAAAATCTAAAGATTATGGTCAGGGGGTGCAAGCAGCAGGCAAGAGTGTAAGCCAGCAATATCTAAGCCCAGTCTAGAAAATAAGTCCACAAGCAGTTTTTTGTTTTGAAGCTTCAAGTTACCAAAAAGGAAATGACGAATGGGCCTTGAGGTAGCAGAATTTCGGTCCATGTCTTTTAACCAGGATCCAAATCCAATTCACATTTTTGTAACTCCTCCAAGTTTCCAAAAACAACACTGGGCCTAGGAAAGTCCAGTTCGGCCCATCAGCAATTTTTGTCACGACTCAAGGTTCCAACAAAAAGCTGTGGTAATGGGCTTAAAGGGGTGTACCGCGAATCTGATGTTGAAATAGACACTAGGCCCAATACCACTTGGATCCAAAACAATTATTTTTTGTATAATATGCTTCAACTAAAAAAATGTTGACACACCTAATGAAATGTACTTTGGTCCTTAATTCATAACGCAAGCCCCAGATTTAAGTTTTCTTTTCAATTTCAGCAATTATTTACATTTTATTTATGTTATTAACAAGGCTTTAAAAAAGATATAAAGAAAAATTACAAACGATGTATTTTTATGTTAGACTAGAAGAGTGACTGCTGATATTCTTAACACAGAATGCATCTCTTTCTACCTTTCGCCGGAAATCAATCCGCCGCTCCGGCGGTAGCGGAGCTCTACCAATCTCTAAGATTCTTACATCACCTTATTTTCTTTGTTGTTGTCTCTGCGTTTCTATATCTATTTTCTTCCAATTTCCCCTTATCTTTTCTGGATCTGACAAACCTCATAACCCTAACGGAGTCAAAACGAAATTAATTGATCATGGAGTGGCCTCCGAGCATGATTATGATGGGTTTTAATCATACTCCATGCATTCTACACTCTCGTATAAAAATAATGAAGAAGTTAGAAGAAAGATGAAGACTCAGATCTTACCTGTCGGAGTCGCTCTGACGGTGCTTCGTGATCGCTGTTGACGGAAGTAGGATTCCAGAGAGTCTTCAAGAAGTAGGTCAAGCAAGCTCTTATCCCTTCTGATGTCCTTCCACTCTTCTCTTTTGCGTCCCTGTGCTTGCGCGACATTATTGATTAAATACGAGGTTGATGCAAAGGATTGAACGAGGAAGGAAAAATTTGTTGTTGTGGATTAGTGATGAAAATGTCAAGGTGATGATGATGAAGGTTGAGTGCGTGAAGATGAAGATGTTACGAGAATTGATGTTGATGATCAAAGGATGAAGACTATTAAGAAGATTGAAGATGAAGAATCAACTCAGAGAATTGCCAGTGGAAACCCAGAAGCTTTTAGAGAATTTCAGAGAGAGTTTCTGTAGAATGAATCATGAGTCCTCGATTTTTTTCTCTCCATTTATGTTATGAATTCGTAATACTCTTTTTTGTGATTTTTCTGTTATAATCATGAATGAATTTCCCCTCTCTTTTCTGTTATATTTTCTGTTATAGTCTGGTGGGAAGTTGGTTAGAAACATTGGGGGTTAGAGTTGTTAGTTTCTGTTAGCAGTTAAGTTTTGATTCTTTTAAATGAGTTGGCATATTCTTTTAGGACAGTTAGTTGTTAATGATTTTTTCTGTTATAATGTTTATTGTTGTTATTTCCTAATGTAACCTTCTTTTTTGATTTGTCGTATGCAGGGTCACATTTTTCCCATGGTTTGTTATGACGAATTCTGCGACAAAGCTTGTAATGGGCAAGGTATAGAAAATATCTTCTTGAGGCTTATTGCAGTAGAATTTCTGACTTAAGATAGTAGCAATGTCAGTTGGCTGTTAGGATGAATGAGTGGCTATTTTTTATGTATGAAATGCAGATTCAAGTTAAATTGTATGGGCCAAATATGGATCTTGACAATGAAGTCATCAAGGTGAATATGAAGGTGGATTCACTTGAAGGTTTGGAAATTGATGGTATATGGTTTCAAATAAGCACAAATTTGGAGGATGCCGAAACTTGAAGATTAGGAATTTGGAAGCAATAGGTTTAGGATAGGTTCCTTTGTGATCTTTTTTTTTATGTAACGTCTCTATGTAATGTACTTGAGTTTTGTGATGTTGTTGATGGATGGAATGATAATTTGTAATCTTGAATGAAATCAACTAGAATAGTGCTTGAATATGTTTTATAAACCTTGTGAATCTTAAACGATATATTCCATTTCTCTTGACTTGTATCCTTTTATGACTTTTCCAAAACTTTTCCTTTAATTTCACCTTGAATGGATCTCGTAATGCTTTTTATTTGTGAAAGAACATACTTTGTGAATCCTTAAATTCTAAAGACACATCCTTCAAAAATATTCAAAATGATATTTCATTTAATACCCTAGCCTCCCATGAGAAAAACCTTGACTTGTATGCCTTGAAAAACATGATATATGCTTCGTGACTCTCCAAGCAACCCAAGTGTTTGTAACTTATTTTTCGAGAAATCCAAGTGACTCTCCAATATTTGAATCAACTCTTGACAAAAAAAATGCTTAAGAACTTTGAACCAGACTATCTTCAATTTGACGAAACCATAGCCATGTCTTAAGCCTACATCAAGTAGTGAATTCTTGAAAGAAGAATTAGCTATAAATACAATGAATCTTTTGCCTCAAATCTTATACCATGACTTGTCTTTTGTGAGCCACACCATAGCATTACCTTGAATAAATCCTCTGAAGATGAATATGAAGCATAAAAGAAACATGTTCAATAGAACCCTAGTTTAATGAAACCTCAATTGATAGATATTAACAAACTGCAAGCATGACGAAATGTAAACCATAGTCTTCTTGCCACAGATGAATCTTTATGAAGAAAGTAGCCTGAGATACCCTTACTTAAAGTCAACTCACTTGAAGCCTGATGAAATACTAAGTACAACACGTGAAACACTAGCACTCAAGTGACGCCTTAGTCTTCTTGACCTTTGATCCTAAATGCCAAGCCTTGTTATTAGTGAATGCATGTGATATTATATGACCTAATGGAAGATATGTACATGATGATTATGAGATGCATAAGCCAAATGATCCTTATAAAGGAGTACTATTTGCGCATGGATTTTGGAAGTTCTAAGTAGAAGATGATTAAATACCAATGACAAAAATTTGTTCTGAAAGAAAGTGTGAGTGTTTATTTATTTCTATGATATCTGCTGGGGAAAGAATTTTTCGTTTTTTGGTGAGAAGACGGAGATTGGACTTATAACGTAGAAACATAGGCTAATATAAGATGGAGATTGGACTTGTAACGTGGCGTGATACCAATACAAGACACAGGTTAGTTCGAAATAACAGTAGATAAGATCTACGGGAGACCTACGGTCCTAAGGTGAAACATAAGAGCAATATGTCCGAGAACCTAGCCAATGGGCGATCTCAGGTTCTAAGATAATCTATTGGAAGAACCTAACCTACAGGCGATCTCAGATTCTAAGATGATCTATTGGAAGAACCTAGCCTACGGGCGATCTCAGGTTCTAAGATGATCTAAAGGAAGACCCTAGCCAACGGGCGGTCTCAGGTTCTGAGATGATCTATAGGAAGAACCTAGCCAACAGACGATCTCAGGTTCTAAGATGATCTATAGGAAGAATCTAGCCAACAGACAATCTCAGGTTCTAAGATGATCTATTGGAAGAACCTAGCCAACGGGCGATCTGAGGTCTTAAGATGATCTATTGGAAGACCCAAGCCAACGGGCGATCTCAGGTTCTAAGATGATCTATAGAAAAAACCTAGCCAACGGGTGATCTCAGGTTCTAAGATGATCTATAGGAAGAACCTAGCAAACGGATGAACTCAGGTTCTAAGATGATCTATTTGAAGAACCTAGCCAACGGGGGATCTCAGGTTCTAAGATGATCATAAGGAGAACCTAGCCAACGGGAGATCTTAAGTTCTATGATGATCTATAGAAAGAACCTAGCGTACAAGGAATCTCAGGTTCTAAGATGATCTATAGAAAGAACCTAGCCAATGGGTGATCTCAAGTTCTAAGATGATATATAGGAAGAACCTAGCGAATAGGAAATCTTAGGTTCTAAGATGATCTATAGGAAGAACCTAGCCAACGGGCGATCTCAGGTTCTAAGATGATCTATTAGAAGAACCTAGCCAATGAGCAATCTCAATTTCTAAGATGATCATAGGGAGAACCTTGCAAACGGGCGATCTCAGGTTCTAAGATGATCTATACGAAGAACCTAGCCTACAGGAGATCTTAGGTTTTAAGATGATCTATAGGAAGAACCTAGACAATGGGTGATCTCAAGTTGTAAGATGATCATAGGGAGAACCTAGCCAATGGGTGATCTCATGTTCCAAGATGGTCTATAGGAAGAACCTAGGCTACGGGCGATCTCAGTTTTAAGATGATGTATAGGATGAAACTAGCCAACGAGACATCTCAGGTTCAAAGATGATCTATAGGAAGAACCTAGCCAACGGGCGATCTCAGGTTTTAAGATGATCTATTGAAATAACCTAGCCAACGAGCGATCTCAAGTTCTAAGGTGATCAATTGGAAGACCCTGGACAACAGGCGACCTCAGGTTCTAAGATGATCTATAGGAAGAACCTAGCCAACGGGCGATCTTAGGTTCTAAGATGATCTATAAAAAGAACCTTGCTATTGTACCCCAAAATTTTCTCTTCCATTTTTTCACTCAAGATGCTATCCCAGGGTTTCTCAAACACTCAATTTGGCACAAGATTTGATCAATTTGGCAAAAGTGTTAGCATAAAATCAAAATTTTCAAGAAACTTCTCATCATGAGGATTTGCATTTGGAATTAGTTTAAAAGGGTTTGTTTTTTATCATGATCCAATCTTCTCCTATTTTTTTTGCAAATCACAAGGTTTGGGCCTTGGTTCACAAAAAAGAAAAAAATTGCCCAAAGCTGCCCAGTCCAGAACTGCCAAACAATGCAATAGCCCAAGACAACTTCACAAAACAAACAAGTAAAAGCCAGCAAACTGTCGAACAATACAACAACCCAAAATTGCCAAGTCAAAAAGCTGTCGAACGCACAAAACAACAAGGACGAACAACAGCAATAAAGGCAGAAACAAGCGAAGGTAGCAACAACATAGGCTGCTAAAACAATACAAAGGCAAAAAAAAATGTAGCAGCAATAACATAACAATGCTGGCTCTTGGTATGCTCCATGTCATCATTTTCCAAAAAAAATGCAAATCCTTTAGAAAGTTAAAGAAAAAGTATCACCTAAGCCAAAAACTGTCCAAAAACCTGCCATGACCAGCCTGCATTATAGTCCAAAACCTGCCCAAACTTGCACCAAATGGACATAGCTTAATCTGTACTCTAAAAGGCCAAGGTCATCAAGCCAAAATTCCTAAAAAGCCGATTCATTAAATCTCTTATATACCAGCAACGAGGGTCAAAGGAAGGAGAATACACACAACAACAAAAAAACAGCCACAGAATCAAGAGAAGTCAACTTTTGTTCATCATTTTCCTCAAACCAAAAACCCTTCAGAAACTAAAAAAACAAAGAGAGAAAAAGAGAAATTTTTTTACAGAAAAGGAACTTTCCTGAAGAAAATCGAAAAACTCTCCATCAATCTGCATCACACGATACCTTTAGAACCATAGCCACTTCACACACTCAATTCAAACCAACCTCACTGCAACACACAGTCAACTCATTATTCAACAACAATCTAAACTGAAATTCATTCACAGTACCCTAATAGTCACTAAAAAAAGCACAAGAAGAGGATGAATTAAAAAGACACACGTCAGAAAGTATGAAATGCACTGACCATTCCGCTGTTCACGCTCAACCGCGAGTCCCAACTCAGACCTCAAGCCTCCACTGCAATTTCGACAGATAAACCCATCTTCAATGTACATTTGAGAACCCACCATCGATCCGGTAACTCTCTTTTTCATTCACTCTTTCTTTGCTATGATTGATATTATTTTGGTTCTGAAACTCAAACGATATTATATTGTTGATTTGTTTGACATTCTGAACCAAAATTAGAGAGATTGTCATTGTTACCTTCATGATACAGTGAGCTTCTGTTGTTGTTGTTTTCCTAAGCATGGTCGTGAAACCGTGAAGCAAGATCGGATTATTGTTGATGTTCGTTAGAATTAGGGACCGTAAGAGACAGAGAGATTGATTTACATAGGAAGTTTGATAAAGGGGAAGTATTTTCGATTCACATTTGAGATAAAGGAATAGAGATTTACAGAGGGAGTTTCTTAAGAGACATGGAGAAGAAGTTGTTGCGAGTATATAGAGATACGATAAAAGAAAGGGAAGACCTTTTTTTGGTTATGTTAGGGTTTTCAACCCGTATGGTGGGAGCATGGGTGAACCGGATTTCCTAAACCCAAGTTTATTCTTTTTTTTGTTTGTTTTGTAACTTTTCTTTTAATTTTTTTTCTTGGGCCATCTAACCTAACCTAGCGCCCTAGTTTTCGCACCCCGTGGGCTTTGACATTTTTTTCTTTAGTTCTTTGTTTAATTGTTTAACATCGTTTGAATTTTTAACATAATAAAAATATATAAAAATATAAATGCTTTTCAATTAAAATAATTAAGTTTAATAATATTTATGTTATTAAAATTTTCTAATTAATTTAAAATAGATTGTTTTAGTTTAATTAATTGTTTATTTTTAATTCTATTAGGTTGTATTGACTGTTTATTTTAACTTTTAATCGTATTGACGATCCGACTCATCCCCATTCATAAATTTGTACCCCCATTCTCGAAAACTCTGTAATAGCGTAGAATTTCAATTTCTGCAATTTACTGTTTTCCTTATACTGTATAGTAATTAGGCGTGCATGGCAAGACATAAAATCAATCGCTAGATAACCTAATTTCAACAAAATAACTTGAATCAAACACATTTTTTCAGACGCGCACCTCTAGGGTAACCTCGCTCCTTGCCTCGGAAACATAATCATGTCCCTCGAATATAGGACG